TTGAGGTCTGTGGCCTGAAAGGTGCTAGAAGCAGAACCTGTGATTGCGGCCTGGGACTCCAGAGCCCGAAACCCACTGCCACCATGGTGGGAAAAGGTGCCAAAGGGATGCTGGTGAGTACGGGGACCAGACTGCAGGGAGCAGGGGGTCATGAGCACTGCCCCCTCTGGGGCCTTCTGCCAGCTGCTTTCCGTATGGCAGGAAAGCCTAGGAGGCTCCGTGGGGCCCAAGTCTGGCACTGCCAGGGCTCCTGCGTGCTCAGGTTGTCCCAGGCACTGGTAGGCAGCCCCTCGCCTGGCTGGTTAGTTGGCACCACAGCTCCAAATCCACCCGTAGCAGGGCAGATTCTGCCATGGAGCCCGCGAGGAGGCAGGAGGCCCACTCCAGTCCTTTCACCAGTGACACCCTGGAGAAGGCTGTGGATCATCCTGCTGGGAGGACAGCAGAACCACTGGGCTGTCCTGGGGCTGGGACACTCCCACCCCTACCCCATCCCCACCCTCACCCCGTGCTCTGCCTCCACAGGGAGTGTTTAGTATGTGCTGATCAAGGGGTCCTCTGGCCCTGGCTGGTTTTTCTGTACTTCCACTCTGAAAAATAACAGAGAATATTTCGCTTAAGTCCTCTCCTGAGGCCTCTCAGAAAACCTCTCTCTCCCCCTTCCCCAAGCCATGGTCCTTCCTGGCCCGCTGCCCCAGAGCACAGGAGAGGTGGTGGTGAGGAGCCTTGAGAAGCAGAGGGTGAGAGCAGGGACTGGTGAGGGCTTCCGCTCACGCTGATGGGCCGAGGAGGGTGGCACTGGCAACAGGAACCAGGGAAGAGATGCCAGGTCCTACCCCAAGGGCAGTGCTTGTATTTCTTCTCTCCTGGGATCTTGCCTCAGGGACAAGCTAGACTGGGGCGCTGTCCGCTGTCCGGGGAGGGAGCTAGTGACTGAGCATGGCCCCTCCCTTAGTGCCTCCCTTTCCCACATCAATTCCTTCTGCTGCTTTTCTCATTCAGTTGAGTATTGATAGACCGAGGGTCTGTGTTGAGCCTTCCCAAAACAAGCCATCTGTCACCAAAGATTTCTGGGAGTCAACCAATCTGGTCCAAAGGAATGGCTAGGTGGTGTCCTAAGAAGCATCCAGACCTGTAGATAATTGTTGAGTTTACTAGAGGCCCGATGCACGAAATTCATGCAAGAGTAGGCCTTCCTTCCCCCAGCTGCCTACCGGCACCGGCTTCCCTCTGGCACCCAGGACCCGGGCTTCCCTCACTGCCCCAGCTTCTTCCGGAAGGATGTCCGGTCTAATTAGCATATTACGCTTTTATTATTACAGATTTGGGCCAAACTGACAAAAATTGCTGGGAAGACAAACCTCAATGGGTGGAAAAAATATTCTGGAGAATAGCAGTTTTGCAGCTTATTTTATACATTATCACCAAAGGAGGTGATGTAAGGGGGGTTACGTGAAATTCATTGGTGATAGATTAGGGAGGTGGAGAAGCTAAGCAGACGGGATAAAGAGTAAAACAGAATGGGCACAGGATAGTTAACCATTAACATTTACAGCCCACAGAGATGGTGTTTGGGAATCTGTGGTCCTGTGCTCTGTGTGGATGGATGTGCCCTGAGGGGCCTGGGAAAGGGGACGACTGACATTTCGACGGTATGTTAGCTCAGTCACAAAAAGACAATGGACAGGCTCACTTAAGGTCAAGATTCACCTTTGTCAAGGTGTGTGGGCACCAGGTGTTAGACCAGTGGCGTCAGATTGGACCTGGGTTCAGCAACCTCAGTACTTGAGTTCTGGCGAGGAAAGAATTCAGACCCAAGACTCAAACTCTACGAGAGCACTTTTATTTATAAAATCAGAGGTAGAAGAAGTAATTCATAGAAGAAATGGGCTGAGGAAAGTGAGGAAGGTAATGGCAGTGCACCTGGGGTGGGGAGGAGGCAAGGTGTAGGCTTGCTCCTGGGAGGGAGAGCCACTGGGTCCTCTGTCTTCGGAGGAGAGGGTAGGGGAGGTCCCAGGGGAAGATCTCAATAGAATATTCAGCAGCTTTCCAGGTGTGTCCTTTCAGGGTCTGGGTCTCCACTGATGATTGGTGAGCGCCAGAGCAGGGGGTCATTACCCAGCGCAGGTGGTCCTGAGGTCAGCCTTGGCATTGCTTGTCTGGTTTCGTTGCTTCTCTGGACCTGGAGCTGAAATACACCTGAGGCCTAGATGCTATCTCTAGGGAGGAAAGGTCACCTCGTGGTGAGGTCTCATCCTACAATTGTCCTTTGCTAGGCATCCCAGGCTTCCCCCCCCCCGCCCACCCCAATCCACCGTGAACTTTTGTAATCTGGGCCCATCATTCTTGCTCACCTCATGGCTGTCTAACTGCTTACCGAAAAGGAAGCTTTTAGTTAGGAATTTTTAAAAAATATATATTTTTATTGATTTCAGAGAGGGAGAGAGAGATAGAAACATCAATGATGAGAGAGAATCACCGATTGGCTGCCTCCTGCATGCTCCACATGGGGTCGAGCCTGCAACCCGGGCATATGCCCTTGACTGGAATCGAACCCAGGACCCTTCAGTCCGCAGGCCAACGCTCTATCCACTGAGCCAAAACAGCCAGGGCTAGTTAGGAATTTTTATGTTCAGACCATCCTTATATGGTTACTTTCAGGCCTCCCCTGTGCTTGTCAGGTTTACTATGTGGCCCATTTTCCGTCTACAGTGGTTCTGCTCCAGGCTCAGGGCCCTCCATCCTGCCCCTCAGGCCCGCTCTGGTCTAGTTCCCTCCTGGTTGGAACAAGTCTGAATGAACCAAGCTTCTGAAACCCTGAACTCTGGGCGCTCAGCAATGGGCTGAGGTGGAGGCCTCCTACCTGAACACTTGCTAGGGGTGGGTTTTGTGACAGAACCAAGAAAGGCCTCCGCTTTCCCAGAGAAGTCTGGGAATTGCCGTGGGCCTGTCTAGGAACTTGGAGATTCTGAGCCCCATGAAACCTAAGAAGCCCTCTGCGTACTCCCTGGCTGCCCTTCTTTCTCGGGAGTGACCCTGGGAGGACCGAGGCAATCAGGCAGGAGCGATGTGGGACCCACCATGGGCCGTAGGGAGCATGAATCACAATGTCCCAGAGCCCTTGCCAGAGCTGAGCTTCCCGGGGCTTCAGGCCAGCCTGCCTGTGGAAGGGAATGCTGCTCTGGGACTCCGTTCCCAGCACCAGGATGTGCCTAAAGATAGCTGGGGCTCGGTCTCCTCGTGCCCTCCGCCCTCTGACTTCTGCCCGCGGCTGCTTCGTTTCAGGCTCATAGCGTATGTCCCCTGGGCACCCCTGTGGTTGCTGAAATTCTATTCCTGCCTCTTTTTCAGTTCTGCTGGTGACCTTGGGCTACGCTATTTGTCTATTCTCGGGCCCTACTTTGGAACTGAGGCCTCCTCCATGCAGTGCCTCTCTCTAGAATCAGCCTCTGAGGAGCGCCACCTCTGCTAGCTAGCCGAGGGAGCTGAGCAGCACTTTATTAGGTGCTGGTTCCCCTAAGGACACATGGCTAAGGATGCGCCTTTCAGACCTGCCCCTTCTCTGGATGTCATGGTGGGGCCGGACACAGGGCGCTGAGGGCCGTCCTGGTCAGTGGGTTCTGCTGTCATCTGTGGCCTGGTGCACAGGGAGTGGGCCTCCCCGTGAGGAGGTGTCCTCATTTCCATCCACGTTTTTGTCTTTTGTTGGTGGTGGTGGTGGTCATCTGAGGATGTTTTTCCTTTGATTTTTAGAGAGAGTGGAAGGGAGGGGGAGAGACTGAGAGAGAGAAACATCGATGTGAGAGAGACACATCAATTGGTTGCCTCCCACACGCGCCCTGACCAGGGCTGGGGATCAAGCCTGCAACTGAGGTACGAGGTAGATGCCCTTGATCATAATGGAACCCAGGACCCTTCAGTCTGCAGGCTGACGCTCTATCCACTGAGCCAAACCGTCTAGGGCTCCAGCCCCTTTTGCTCTAGGTTTGGGTGTGAGGACATGGGACCGCTGGGTCTCTTCAGTGTCCACAGACATCCTGTGCCATCCTTGGAGCTTCTGCCTGGCTCTTCATGTGGCAAGTGCCCCATGGAGGAGCAAGCTGCTTCCTAGCACGTGCCCAGGCCCACATGCCTGCTGCGCGTGTCCCAGCCCCCACTCCCAGCCCAGATGGTCTCTGCCAGGCCAGCTCAGCTGCCTCCCTCACGCCTCAGCAGCTCCCAGGACAGGGCCATGCAAGAACCCAGCTGGCCAGGGTGCCTCCAAGCCTGGGAGCAGCTGGGGTGCTTAGGGGCACTGGGGGGGTGGATGGGGCGGTCCTTCCATGGAGACCTCATATAGACCTCATGCCTCTGTACACGTGGTGGTGGGGTGCTGACTGGGGCTCAGAGGACAGAGCTGGAGGAGCGAAGGCCAGGACAGGAGAGCCCCCCTGGGTCAGCTTTAACCCTGCTGCCTCGCACCAAGTACACAAGTTGGTGGCCCCAGGCCCTTCCCCCGTTCATACAGTGTCTTGGGCAGCAGAGACCTTGGGGAGCCTCTTTGGTCTCTCCCCAGAATTCACTGGTTGCTTCTGTACTGGGACAAATAAGAGCAGAGTCACCCGGGCCAGGGCCCTAGATGCCAGAGCATCTAAATTCTCCCAGAAGGCTTTGCAAGCACCACAGCTTGCCTGGGTCTGCTCCACCCTGTTCTGCTTTGACATGAGGGTTTGGATACCTCTTGTCTGCAGTATCCATCCCAGGGCCTGGCGCACAGTGCACACTCACCCAGCCCAAGTCCCGGCATGTGGCAAGTGCTCAACTAGCATAGGCTTGGGCACTCCCTTGGTAGAAGGCTGCTGCCTACTAAGCACTCACCTAGCACGAGTCCCAGCATGTGGCAGTGCTCAGCTAGTACTGCTTTGGCACACATTGGCCACTTCCTTAGTCAGAGCCTATCACACAGTAGGCACTCGTCTAGCACAGTGCCAGGCACATAGTGGGTGCTCACCCTACTCAGGGCCAGGCATACATTGGGTCATCACCTGACAGAATTTGGCACATATGGGGCACTCACCCAGTGCAGGATTTAGCATACCACAGGGGCTCGCTGGCTTGGGGCTGATACATGGTG